TCATTTCTGGACGTTTTAGCACTCAACCTTGACGGATGCCCAACTGCTTTTAACTGTCTTGGCGCAAAAACGCTCAGTTTTGGGCGTTTTAATGTTCAGGCGCTGGAAAACGCTCAGTTTTCGGCGTTTTAATGTTCAGCACCAGCATCTTTTGTGCAACAGGGCGCTAAAACGCTCAGTTTTGGTCGTTTTTTTACCGCCCAACACTTAGAATTTTCCCATTCTTCAGAATCTTCTTCCTTCTCTCTTTTGCTTCTTGAGCTTCATTTCCCTACAAAAACAATGTAAATTTTCAACATAAGCTTCAGAACTTGTATTTGAGAGATTTCCAGGACATTAACCTCTTTTCCATCCATTTAATCACACAAATTGATATTAATTCATGCTTGAAAACCTGATGAACTAAGGGTTCATCAAAGGACTAGTGAGGCAGCCAATTATTGAGGTTGATAGATCAGCTATACCACCCAGGTTTGACCAGGATACTAGAGAGCGTATGCTGAATGCTTTCAGGAAGCATTCCCCACCTCACTACAAAGGTGGAAGAGATCCCATTGCAGCATTGCTGAAGTGGCTCCAAGAGATGATGGAGCGTATTTTTCAGGTTATGGAATGCGATGCCAACATGAAGCTCCTATATGCGGTGTACATGTTACAGGGGGATGCTGTTGACTGGTGGAGTAATGTTAGAAACCCACTTGAGTGCCAAGGTTATGCTATAACTTGGCCATTATTTGAGAGGCATTTTCTACAAAAGTACTTCCCTGAAGAAGCCAGGGAAAGGAAGAAGAGTGAGTTTGAAGACCTCCGGCAGGGAGGCATGACTGTGGATGAATATCTCAGCAAGTTCAACCGCTTGGCAAAATATTCTTGTTATGGTAGAACTCCCCTCACTCCAGAAGACAAGGCCTTTTGATTCAGGGAGGGTCTGAATGATATGATAGCAGACAAACTGGCGGGTCATTGCACCAAAAATTTTGTGGAGTTGATCAAGCAGTGCCAGAATATTCAGGAATAGCTTCAGGAGGCACTGGAAGGGTCAAGGGTTTACCAAGAAGACTCCCTTTGTGAAGAATGGAAGCAGCAGGAAGTGAAGACTGCCACCGGAGACATTGTTTCTACTTCCTTGAAGTGCAAAGAAGTCAGATTCATATATGAGCAAGAAGAGTATATGGTGGATTTGATAGTGCTTGAGGGCATGAATCTACACATTATCTTAGGTATGGATTGGCTGGTCCGATATGGTGTGATGCTAGATTGTTGTAGCAGAAGGGTTTTCTTTGCTGCAAAAGGAGAAAAACCGGACAGTTTGTACTTGACGGCACAAAAATTAAATAAGGCTCTAAATGAGGGAGATGCAGGATACATTATCCTGGGAGGACTCGTAGGAGACTCCAAAGAACCTACTGCTAATATTCCGGTTGTATGCGAGTTTGAAGATGTATTTCCGGAAGAAATTCCTCATTTTCCACCTGAGAGGGAGATTGAATTCTCAATTGACTTAGTACCTGGTGTGGGGCCTATCTCATTGGCTCCATACCGGATGTCACCAGTGGAGCTAGCTGAGCTGAAGAAGCAGTTAGAAGAATTATCCCGCAAGAACTTTATCAGACCGAGTGTATCTCCTTGGGGTGCACCAGTCATCTTCGTGAAAAAGAAGGATGGGACTATGAGGTTGTGCACTGATTATCGACAGTTAAACAAGGTAACAGTAAAGAACAAGTATCCTCTACCACGCATTGATGATCTGTTGGATCAGCTCAGGGGTGCTTCAGTGTTCTCAAAGATTGATCTTCGTTCCGGATATCACCAGATTCGGGTAAAAGCAGAGGATATTCCGAAGACGGCTTTCCGATCTAGATATGGGCACTATGAGTATCTAGTGATCCCATTTGGGCTTACTAATGCCCCGGCCGTGTTCATGAGTTATATGAACCGAATTTTCAAACCACATTTAGATCAGTTTGTTGTGGTATTCATTGATGATATTCTGATCTACTCCAAAAGTAAGGAAGAACATGCAGAGCATTTGAAGATAGTTCTACAGATTTTAAGGGAGCATCAGTTATATGCCAAACCATCCAAGTGTGAGTTTTGGTTACATGAGATCCAGTTTCTTGGACACGTCATATCATCTACAGGAGTGGCTGTTGATCCGAGTAAAATTGAAGCTGTGCTGGATTGGGAGAGACCCAAGAGTGTTACTGAGATCCGAAGTTTTCTGGGTTTAGCAGGATACTACAGGCGGTTTATTAATGGATTCTCCAGAATTGCCTTGCCATTGACTAGGTTGACCCGAAAAGGGGTGCCATTTGCATGGACCCTTGGGTGTGATGTGAGTTTTCAAGAATTGAAAGATAAGTTGACTACCGCACCGGTTCTGATTCTTCCTGATCCGGAGAAGAGATTTGAGATCTATTGTGATGCATCCAAGTATGGATTAGGGTGTGTGTTGATGCAGGAGCGAAAGGTAGTGGCCTATGCTTCTAGACAGTTGAGACCACATGAAGAGAATTACCCTACTCATGATCTTGAGTTAGCGGCCGTGGTTTTTGCATTGAAAATATGGAGACACTTCTTGTATGGTGCTACCTTCACAGTTTTTAGTGATCACAAAAGCTTGAAGTATCTATTCGATCAAAAGGAGCTTAATATGAGACAAAGGAGATGGATGGAATTCCTGAAGGATTATGAGTTTGACCTTCAGTATCACCCTGGAAAGGCGAATGTAGTGGCTGATGCCTTGAGCAGAAAGACCACGGGTGTGGCTAGCATGATGATTGCAGAGTATGATTTGATTGAGGAGTTCAGGGATTTGCGAATTTCTGTGACACCATTTGAGACTTCATATTTCATGACTACGGTCGAAGTCCGAAATTCGTTAATGGAAAAAGTTAAAGCGGCCCAAGTGCTTGATGAAGGGATCCAAATGATGAAAGAGCAAGATTTTGTGTTCACCGATGCTTCTCATGTGAAATACTACAAAGATCGGTTAATTGTCCCGAAGGGACCAATGGTAGAAGAAGTGTTAACAGAGGGTCATATGGGTAAGTACACCATCCACCCAGGTGCAACTAAGATGTACCAAGATTTGAAACAGAATTTTTGGTGGTCTGGGATGAAGAAAGACATAGCCCAGTTTGTGAATAAGTGCCTTATTTGTCAGAAGGTAAAAATTGAGCATCAGAAGCCTTCTGGTTTGCTACAACCATTAGATATTCCGGAGTGGAAGTGGATGAGTATATCCATGGACTTTGTTGTTGGATTACCAAGAAGCCAGGCTGGATTTGATTCCATATGGGTTGTGGTTGATAGGTTGACTAAATCCGCCCATTTCATTCCAGTCAAGACGACCTTTTCCACAGAGCAGCTAGCCAAACTATATGTTAGAGAGATTGTGAAGCTTCATGGCATTCCCGAAAGCATAGTTAGCGATCGGGATCCGAAGTTTACTTCACGCTTTTGGGAAGCGTTACATGAGGCCTTTGGTACTCAATTGAGATTGAGTACTGCTTATCACCCGCAGACAGATGGTCAGACAGAGAGGACCATTCAGACACTGGAGGACATGCTGAGAGCGTGTGTGCTTGAGCAGGGTAATACTTGGGACAAGTACCTGCCACTGGTTGAGTTCTCCTACAACAACAGTTATCATGCCAGTCTGGGCATGGCTCCTTATGAGGCCTTGTATGGCCGTAGGTGTAGAGCACCTACTTGTTGGACGGAGATCGGAGAAAGACAGTTATTGGGGCCAGACTTGGTCCAAGAGACTACGAAGCAGATTGAGATGATCAGAGATAGGCTGAAGAAAGCCCAGAGCCGTCAGAAGAGTTACTATGATGCCAAGCACAGACCCCTTGAGTTTTCTGAAGGGGATCATGTATTCATCCGACTATCACCTACTACAGGTGTTGGGCGTGCCTTGGGAGTGAGGAAGTTGAGTCCACGGTTCATTGGGCCCTACCAGATAATAAAGAGGGTCGGACCGGTGGCGTATCAACTTGCTCTACCTCCCAACTTGGCGAATTTACATGACGTTTTCCATGTGAGTCAACTCCGCAGATATATATCTGATGATTCACACATTGTACAGTATGATGACATAGAGGTTAAGAAGGACCTGAAGTTCGTTGTTGGACCTTCTAAGGTTCTTGCTCGAGATGAGAAACAGCTTCGAAATAGAGTTATTCCCATGATCAAGATCCAATGGGAAGGATTGACACAAGAGGATGCCACATGGGAGCGGGAGGATGATATTCTCCGGCAATATCCCGATTTTGATATCAGGTATGATCTGATTTTGAGGACAAAATCTTTTAAAAGGTGTGGTGAATATAATAACCCTAATTATATGACTTTTAAATTAGAGGGTTATAATGAGGACCTTATAGTCATAAATGGAATGAGCATAAAATTATAAGAATTTTGATACCCATATTGAGGTATTATGCACAGATGAATTTTTATCTGTTAAATTTGACTGCTGACGTAATAACAGTTAGTAGAATAGCTCCAAGTTAGCAAATTATAGTTAGAGAGCTAATCTAATGATATAAACATCATGAATGAGGTTAGGATATGATTTGGTGAAGATTGATACCCATATTGGGGTATTTTTGAAAAGTCACTTCTGCCGGGTATTTTGTACTGCTGTAGCAGCATCCGGTAGAATCCCGGAACAGGAAAAAGATAAGAAAATAGAAATAAAGACCAATATATGCCTAACAAGTCATAATTAGACCAAAAATGTTAAAGTTAAGAAGATTATGAAATCCGGGTACAGTTAAGAACACCGGTAAAGACTACAGTGCAATTAAACAACTGTTAGTGGATCTGTGACCTACTAATCAAATTTTTAAGTTATGAACATGATAATTAGACAAAATTAATGTTAAGTACTTAAAGTTAGGGTCTTGAGAGTTTTCGGGTAAAAATTTGACGACGGATCAGTTAAAAATTACACCGGGTCTCACTAAAGGACGAATATCACTTAAGTGACATGGCACCCCTCATTAGGGCACCCTCCTCTCCTTCCCTTCCATTTCTGATCAGCAGCCCCTTCACCTCCTTCTCTCTCTAAGTTTCAAATTTTGAAAACTCTCTCACTTCTCTCTAAGATTTCTTCACCTAAATCTCTCTAAACCACCAAACTTCCTTCACAAAGATTGTTCCCCTCACTCTCCTCTTCACAACCATACCATTTTCATGGTGTGAATCAAAAATTTCGTGTCCCTTATCATCCCAAACAGCCATGGTTTTGTGGAGAGCAAAGGCTATGGAGTTGTGTTCTTGAGCTCTCTTGAAGAATCACACTTGCTTGCTTGTTTCCTTTGATTTTTGGGTAAGTGTTCTTAAATTTTTTTCATGAAAAATATCATCTTTTCTTCTTATGTTCTTGAGCCTAACTCATGAGCATGTTCATGAAGGTGTGTGCTTGCCTAAAGGTGTGTTCTTGGTGGAAAAAGGTGGAGACTTGAGCTAAAGGAGAAACCTTGAAGATGTAAGCTCCCACTTGGGAAATATGAACCAAAAAGCCTCCCTTTTTCTTGTTGAGTGCCTTGGTTTTGATATGTTCATGAGGAGAATGTTGTTTAAAATTTCGTAATGTCATGGTTTGATGATGATTCTTAAGTGTGTGTGTGTTTGGAACCATGGAATGATGGATTGGATGACTAAAGGTGCCACCTTTGGACCTTTGAGTGATGTTCATGTAAAAAGATGACTATGAACTCAAAAATGGACCATGAACATTTCAGCCATATCATGTAAGGATAGGGTTTGATGACAAAAAAAATGTGATTAAGTTGTTAAGTGTGGAAAAATGATTAGAAAGATTAACTAGGTGGGTTAACTCTAAGTAAAACTCACTAATCATGATTAATAATGGCTAAAAATCCTAATTAATATAGCTAATCAAATCTGCCCCATAAAGTACATAAGGGTTTAGTTGTGTTAAAATTAAGGAGATGATGAATTAGGTGATTAATTAAGGGTAGAGATTAATTAACAAAAGTAATCAAGGATTTAACTCTAAAATTGGACTAAAGTAAGGTTTAGGTACACTAATTAAATAATTAGTAAAATTTAAGTATCATGACATAATGGGACTAAGGATATTTCATAATGTGACTTAATAATAGAAAAATCCAAGAATTAATGTGAATTAGGATTTATAATCAAAAGTAATTAAGGTTTGTTAAGTAAACACATTTAAGGCTAAGTAACCAGTTTTTAGGCAAAATTGGGGAGAGCATATCTTCCTCCACAGAGGTCATATAGGGATGTGCCTTATATCAAATTGAAGATTGAGATGTTATCTACGTGGTGTCAAAATTTGGTATCAATTGAAGATATATTCCATTCTGTATGTTCGTTTGAGTGAGGACTGCACAGGGAGGCATGTGCAGGGGCGCTGTACATGGCTGACACTTCCATGAATTTTTTCTCCCTCAATTATTACTCAAATTAGGCTCATAATATGTCTAATTAAAGATAAAGGTGTCTAGTTGTCTACATAAAAATTTTAGAGCAATTGATTTAGTATAATTTCCATAATCGCAGAAATGGTAAAGGATGTTTAGGGCCCTGTTCGGAGTTGGCAAACAGCTTTGTTTGTCCAACTTCAAATGGTGATAACCGGAGCTAGGAAACTTCAAATGAGGCATATGATACCTTTTTGGAAAGGTAATTGAGTCTAGATTAACATACTAAAAGATGAGAATTTTATAACAAGTGAGTCACGCCCAGTAACTAGAAAACAGAAGCATGTACAGTTATGGAAAAACCGTAAAAGTGATATTTAAGCTAAGTGGGCTTAGGGGAACCCTTAGTAACTTATAATAATCATAAATATGACTTGGATGAGTTGAAAATAATCTAAGTGAGCCTTGCATGTGATTCTAAGCTATGTAAGTAATTGAAGATTAAAGTGGCTTGTAATAATGCACTAAAATATGTAATAAGTAATAATTGGTCTAGGCTTGTAATGGGCATATTATTGGCATATGAGTATGAAAAGTGGAATCATTAAATGATTAAGTCGTGGATATGACTTGATTAATTAATATGTAATTAATGATGTGAATGGTTCCTACTCTAGGTGTGCCTAGAGAACCGTGCACTTGAGGATTTTGTTGGAGCATACGTATTATATTGGAGTGTGGGCTTGTGCTAAGCTCCCTAAGGTAAGCTCCTAGTTCTAGTTGACTCCTCGTGCATTCATTCACATTCATATAGATGTTATATGATCTTGATGTTATGATGATGCACTGATGATATATGTTATGAGGATCCTGGCCAGTGATCATGGTATGTAGGCTGCCTATGACTTGACTCTGGGAGCTATTTCATACTGAGGTTGTGTTGACTGTCTATGGCTTGACCCTGGAAGTCACACATGTGTAACCGTCTATGGCTTTGACCCTGGGGTTACACAAGGATGATATGATGATGCTATGTTTATGCTGTATGTCTGTATTATGTGCTTTATATTATTGACTTGTTACGCAGGAAGTGGGCTCAGGGGTTAGAGGATCCTCTATGAACCTTGAGCTTACTGAGATGTTGTTATCTTACCCCGTTTGGGGACATCATTTCAGGTACCCAGAGTAGTGGTGATGCTTTTAGGGGCAAGGCCCCCGCATTGGAGTAGTTGATGATGCAGCTGATGATTTTATATTATGTTTAGATTTGATGTTGGCATGTAGACTTGTTAACATGCTTAATTATTTTATGGAGATTATTGTATGTATTTATTTAGGCTCATGATAGTATTCTTAGAGCCATGGATTATTTACTGATACTTTTATACTTCGAATTAATATAGACTTGATGCATGTATTCAGTTAATTTGGGCATGGAGCCTTATTAGTTGTATTGACCCATTAAGGGGATTGCAGTCCGTGTGGGACTTGCAAGCTATCTGTTTAAATTGTTGTATTAATTAGGTTATCTGTATGTGTAGAATCATGTTTCTAGTTATCCGAAATACATCCGTTATGCTGTCCGTGAGACTCCGTCAGGAATGACACTTGATGTCATATCTTGATGGTAAATGGCCACTAATACTGGCTCATGGGATTAATTAGTAGATGTATATTTAGATTTACGCTTTCACAGTATCTGACGTGAACGTTTTTAGAAATGTTTTTATAAGATGCTTTATTCCTTTTCAAATAAAGTCTTCCGCTGTGAATGTTAAATATCATGTATGTTAACAACCGGAGTACTACAGGGTGTTACACCAGCTCATTTACACCCCTAGAAGGAAGGGAGGAAAAATAAAGGATATTTCATTCCCCTTTTTTGGGAGATAAAATTATAATAAGAGAAAAAAATAAATGGTTAATAAGATATCTTTACAATTTTGCCATTCTTAAAAAATTAAAAAAACTAAACTAATACTATATTTATAAAACTAATATAATATAATTATTATATTTTATAATTAATATTAAGGGTAGATAAGTAATTTTAATATTTTCTCCTTCAAACCCCCAAATTGGGGGGACTTTAATTTTAAGGAAGAGAAGAGTTTTGGAGGATTTAACAAAAATTCTCATTTCATTTCTTTGTTTGTGAGTTTGTAAAAATGAAGGGAAGAAATTGAGAATTTTTACAAAACTCTTCAAAACTCTTCTTGTTCTTAAAATTAAAATTTCCCCAGGTAAAAGATTTTAAATTACTTATTTACCCTTGCAATTAAAATCAAAACCCTCACCCACTCTTTCTAATTTCCTCTTTCTTTTCTAACGATTCTGCATGCGCACATTCGTTGACTTTATAAACTTAGAAACTTTACTTTCTCTTTTTCTATTTTTTCTCAATAACGAAACATGTTTTTCTTTTGTGCTTGGTGTCTTTGATTTTTTGTTATTGTAACACTTTTTTTTTTCAAATTTTTCTGCACAAATAAATGTTCCGGAACTCATTTTTTGCTGATTTGATTGCTCAGTGTTAGCAATTGGGGGAAGCACCATCGAAGTGGATTGACCCAACACTGCACAGGTTCGTCACTAAAGAAAAAGGTTTGATTTCCGGAGCTTGTTCTTGTTTTTTCGGTGGTTGCTTTTTTTTTTTTTTTAACAAAATGGGTTTTTTATTGGTATGTTAATTTAAATTGGCCCATCTATACTTGAGAGCGTGTGCCCTTAAATTATTTGATGTATGATCTGAATCATGAAGAATGATACTTGAGAGTGTGTGCCCACAAACTGTTTAATATATGGTTTGAATCATGGAGTGTTTAAAGTATTGTACTGGTCATAGAATAGTTGTTTATAGTTGTCTTTATGTTGGCTTATAGACTATTCTTCAATTACTTACGGACCATTCTTATGAAGCATACAGACTATAGTGCATCCTCCAATAGATCGTAATTGGGATCTATTAGAATATCACATTTTTTATTTTTTTTGTATTTTTAGTAGCCACGTCATCCAAGTGGTTGTAACATAATTTGTTATTCTTCTCCTTTATATTTTGATGCACTCTGCTTCTCTTTTCCGCTTCAAGAATCAATGACTATCCCCACATACTAACACGAGACTTTTCAGTGTGCTTTTTCCTCACTCGCACACTTCTCGGGAAAACTTCCCAGGAGGTCACCCATCCCATAATTGCTCTAAGTCAAGCACGCTTAACTACGGAGTTCTTCCGTTTCGGGCTACCGAAAAGCAGATGCATCTTATTAGTATAGGTAGTACCAATTAATTCATATAAGCTATCCCAAACTGTGAAATCTCATACATGCACAGTCTTTGGAATCCCTCTCTTTCGGGTGTCGATTTAATTCATTCGTTCATGTAACCCCTCGCTGGAAGCCTATCAGGAGTCGCTCCTTGTCTATGCCCTTTCACACCGGCGATCACTCCCCGCCCTCGTCAGCACTCGAGATGTTACAATCATCGTCCTCATCCTTCCCGTGAGCTTTCTTCTGGTTCATCTTTTGTCATGGAAGATGCTTCTAGTCCCTATTTCCTCCAGAGTAGTGATTGTAAGAACCCGCACCGTTAATTTAGGAAAAGTAATTAATTACATCTGAAATTAGGAAATAATTCTATAATTGACCCTAATAATTATGAGAAGACTTAAATAATTATAGTAAGTGATTAATAATACTGAAAGTCGCTTTTCTGACGAAAACTGCAAATACCGGTTCTGCTCCACGGTATAAATGTGTATCGATGAAGTATCCCGAAAAATTATAATAAGTATGATAATATTCCTAGAATAATATATAGGACAAGTATGTCAAGTTTCAAGCCGAAATAATGGGAACTGACGCCAGAACTAATACCGGCTACGTAAAAGCGCGTACCGAAAAAGTGCTGCGAAAAATATAATAAAAATATGACAAAGCCTAGAAAAATGGCTAGGTTCATAATATGAAGTTTGAGATTAAAATGATAAGCGTGGCTATTAATGCTAATACTGTGCGATTACATTTAAGTTGGCTATAAATACTAATTGGGCTCTAAACCCTAGGCCATATTGAGCTGCTACGTGAAGCCTTGTGTGCTGATTTGCTTCAGCCCTTCCCCTCCATTGCCACCTTCATGCTCCTTGGAAAAACCTTCAAGTGATCATCTTTCTTCACACTCCCTTCACTAAATTAGCATAGTTTTGTGAGAACAGGTCTTGTGTGAGTGAAAGGTCCTTGTTTGCTGAGTTTTGACCTCTGACATGTGGTGGTTTGAGGGCTGAGTTGTGGGTTCTCATTGTGGGAGCCATTGTCTTGTCATGGTGGTTTCAAGGAGCCATTTTAAGTGTAAAAGAGCCAACTTAAGGTGCCAAATTCGTGGTCCTTTAAAGTCAGAACCTTTGAACATTGTTGGAAGCTCCAAGTCAGTGTCTTCTTCTGAGTTTAAGACACTTGAGGTATACCATGATCACCTCCCTTCTATATTCATGATTCTAGCTTGATTAATCCATTAAAGGGTAAAACTTTGATCATTTGAGTTAAGGACTGATAATCTCAGTCTAAAATATGTTAATGAACATCAGTTTGAGGAGTTATTGAACTCCAAGTCGTTGAAGAACATTAAAATGGGACTTATGCAGAGAATGCACGAATTTTTGCATTTTGTCTGATAAGTATTCGAATACTTTTCGTGTAGTATTCGAATACTTATCAAAGGGTAATCGAATACTCATTGAAGGAGTATTGGGATACTTTTATGGGAAGTAAAGTATTTGGATACCATAGTGTAGTAGTCGAATACTGAGTCGTATTCGAATACTGTTGGGAAAGTATTCGGATACCATGTTGTAGTCGAATACCTTAGAGATAGTATTCAGATACTTTATGGAGACATGGAGTATTCGAATACTCATCGAGGAGTATTCGAATACCTCATGCAGATTATAACACCTCACATTTCTAAATCAAATATTAAAATATTAAGTGAGTAATTAAGTGAAGGATTAGTGAAAAATCCTAAAGATTAGGCTAAAATACAAAGAAAGGGCAAAACGGTAATTAGCCAACACGCAACCCTAGGAAGATAAAAATTGAGTAGAAGGTCTCAGATGTTAAAAACAACCCTGGAAATGGATCCAGAACGAAAAATTGAGTGGTTAGGCAAGTTTCATAAAAATTAGTGAATAGTGTTTTTCGCGGGTAAAAATACCGCGGTACGATTGCACCGTAAAGCGTGCCAGTTGAATTTTGAGCTCTAGGCTTCAAATATGAGTTATAAATGGTCTATAGAACTAGGAAATATGATTTTTGATAAAATATGATGGAATTAAGTCAGTTTGGGGAAGCGTGCCAACGGCGGGCGCAATAGCTTAAAACAGTGTTTTCTCCGAATGACCGGAAAACTCTGGATTCATCTAATCAAGTATAATTAAGGGAGAATGGTTAATGTTAAAAATTAGAGTTTCTAAATAGTTTTTGAATTTATGGACATTTAGTGGAATCGGAGGGGAATTCAAATGAGTTTGAAATCACGTGAGGTGGCGGTGGGACCCACCCCACTTAAACCACTTAAGCCACATCACCCTACCACTATTCACCATCACTTTCCCTTCCCTTTTTCTTTCCAAAACCGTGACCCCCTCCCCTTTTAGACATTTTAGGTTCAAATTTTTATTCCTTGATAAATCCTTTATTTCTCAACCGAATCGAGTGATTTTTG